ATGCACAAACTTATATTTCTTCTTCATATTATCTACTTCACGTTAAACTCGGACGCCCAATTAATCACTTTTTATTCTGGTTCCAAACAATGGTATGTGGTGTGAGATCACTTCACTGTATACCCACCGTACGTTCACTCCACTTCCATTTCCTTCTTCAAAGTTGGTTACCTTGTTACCAGAGTTCCCAATTACTTTTCCCTTCTGATCAGCCATCTGGTATTCAGGATTGAGACAATGAAGGCAGGTGGTGATAAAAGTCTGCAATAGCCAGTTGGAATTGCTATTGGTGATATGTCCATTAAGTCTCACAACCAGAAAAAAGCACTAGCTTGGTACTAGTGTCAGAGGGTTGTCTTCATTCTGCTGGTTGACATAGAGACGAGTTTCTATATTTAGAAAATTAAGGCATTCTCAACTTCATAGAAGATTTGCACTTCCTAAACACTTTTGAATGTGTATAATTCAAAGGAACTGATGAACATGAATTTTATTATATAACGAATAGTAAAACTGCCGGTTTTATCTAAAGCATCATTTACGGAAATACACTTTTTTTTTACCAGTGATAACTAGGTTATAAAGATTGATGAACAATTAAAATGTAGTAAAAGCTGTCATTGAGCCCAAATATATCCGGAATCATAAATAAGGTGTCTTCAGGTATTGGTTCTCAGGGATTTGATTGGTTACATGATCTCATCATGTGCTGATATTATTTAGAGAACCATTGGAAATCTTGGAAGTATTGGAAAGCTGATCTGTCAGCCCAGTTTGAGACTCTTCAGTAGTACGCATCCACCACAAGGGTTTGAACCCAAGATCTTCTTATTACAAAGCGAACTTGTAGACCATTAAGTCACTGGGACCCAATCCAACAGCTGCCCAATGAATCCCAACTTTTGCCGATTCCTGATATGGAGTAACCACTAGCCATTGTCATCCGTGGTGAGTATATGTCCTCACATCCAACCTACTGTACCCCACTGGTCATGATGAAACATCTGTCTAGTACTCCTAGGATCTTTAGTAGTTCTGTAACCAATGTTGACTCATGACAAAATCCTGTAATAAAATTTATGTTTAGTGTTTGAAGACTACTTTTTCTTCAGTAAATCAAAAAAAGTGTGTTTCACAGATAGTGTTGTACTACAAGTTACAAATATGCAAATTAAGGGATGAAATTTCTGTACAGGAGACGTATTCATTGGTTCCAACTTTTTATAAGACGTATTGCTTCAATCTACCTGATGACAAACGCCTACATACATTCAATATACGCAACAGCTTGTATCAAAAGCTCTACCTACCTAATGATTTATCTATTCATTAGAATGGGGAGCTCAGTAGTGTCTGTATTAATGGTAGCTAGTGGCAGGAATACCACTGAGTATGCATTCAGATTCAGTTGATTAGTCCCAGATAAGATTTAGTGCCACCCCACTATCATACAAACAAAAGCACATTAGGTTAAAGTTATCGTCGAAGCATTATGTTATTGCAGCCGACGTGTCAACAGAAACTAGACATTTCATTGAGCTCAAGTGACAAGGAATTCAAAACAATAATTACAAAAAATGACTATGCCTAATTTATCTTACTTAACACTTCCAATCAGGTAATTTGGTGCGACATTTTACCGCAAAACCACCCAGGGTATCAGCCTCGAAGTGTAAGCAGAATTCAAAAAGTCAATGATTTAAGCAAAAGATTTAGTTCCTACCGCTGGTGAGTAATTACAAATATTCCAGTGGAGTTTTTTCGAATGTCACAAAACTCTGAGAATTCAACAAAGAAATACCATTAACAGCTGACTGCTAAGTTTGCCATGAAATCAAGAACGCTGATCAGCAATGCGGACTTGAATGTTAGCTGTCCTAAGAATGGTGGTGTTAATAAAGCAGCTGAAATATACAGAATATAGATAGTTTTACATGATATCATTTATTTAGTTTTTATTCCTTCACGTTCCAAGTAGAACGTAGGGATTCAAGCTAGGGCTTGGAAGTTTTGGTAGCAGTGGCTTTATTTCTGCGAGGTTGAGTTCCCAGCCTCACGTTCAGCCGCCCCTTTTTACCTGCCTTACTACCAGCTTAGTGAAGTTTAGGACTGCGTCGGTCGGGGATCCAACCCCGGACTACATGAGGCGGAGTTGTTAAGCATTCTACCGCTGAACAACCGATGCAACTTGATATCGGCATTGTTGCAAAACGAGCTTTTTGCAACAACAATTAACAATGATATTGCCTAAAATAACGTTAGAAATGGTAATCAGTAGTGAGATTTTTGAACAAGTACAAAATACTGGGTCAGTAATTTCACATTACTTGATTCTGTCAAAAGCTCACAAGAAGCGGTTGGTCGTGAGTTCAACTCTGAATGCGTTTCGATCACCTTAACATCATGTAGCGATTTTGTTGACATATATTTTGAAAGTAACTTCACTGTTTGGAAATTAGTTAGCAACCTGCAATGTTCACAGTTTTTCGTTACAGTTTCCCCTTGAAACCAAATTTTTCTGACCACAACACATGATCTGCTTGATACTATAAGTGATAATAAAAAAATCGGATATATTTGTATAAAACTATATACTACCAGCTGATTCAGAAACTAGCTAAAAAATTATAGCAAGGCATTTCTTAAATTATATTTCTGAACTCCTAGATTACGTTGGAAAGATAAAAGTGAGTTTTAATGATTTTGCCTTTACTCTATGTTATCATTCTATTTAGTAGTGTTTTTCTGGCAGAAACAGCCATTTTTGTATTTTATGCCGTCTGTTGGGTTATATATATATATGTGCTTGCTTAATGCACTTCATTCCACTTGTTGCTATGGTGCCAGACACATTGGTCGTTCGACTCGTGTCTTTTCTAAAACGGCTGAAGAAAACTATCTGGCAGCATGTTGGCAGAAACGTAATAGTGGCTATATAAGGAGTGGGACAGTTGAACACCTCGTCAACACTGATCATTCCACCTCAATAGATGCCTCTTTCAAAGTAATGTACAAAGTGAAAAACAACCTGCGGAATGCAATACACTTTAGTGTCGTTTGCACCTCTGAAGGTGTAATCATTCAGATGAAGAAATCGGAGGTATGCAAGCAAGCGAAACCTATTCAACTACCTCTACTATCATGGTAAAAACCTGGCTGATTTCTGCCGACTTGGTTTTTGTGTGCTTGTTTTCCTAACTCCTTATAACTCTTGTATATCTTTTGATCTCTTCGATAATTCCATAATTTCTTTCACTTCTATGTGCAACCTGATGACAACTCATTGATTAAATTGTTCATCTTATCACGTAACTCTAATACACTTATTCAACTCATCTTATGCACTCACTAATATTAAGAACGATGTGAAAGCTCTTCAGTTTTGCTAGTACCCTCTTTCACGAAAAAAACAAATATCCTGCAAAGGGTGGAATGCATGTGTAGTCTCCATTTTATTTATTATTTGCAAAAACCTGCTATCCATCAGAACGAGAATATTACGAACAACATAGTATCCAAATTATAGGTTTCCAGACCGTAGGTGTTACGAATTTCCGAATAAATCTGCTGAAGAAGCTGTGGCTTACACGGCGAAACGTTCAGAAAAATCTTGTTTTGATTTTCTTAACACGCTGGGATTAATTTAAATAATTTATAATAGTATCCAAATGTTGTCAGCAAGAATCAAACAGAACTGAATTCAAAATAATTCAAATAACTTCTGTAATTACGGCATCCTAGATCTCAATGCTAGTCGCCATCCAACAAATTACTTCGAGTTAATTCTCAGACACCATCGAGGCGTCCAGATTAGGAGTTGAAATGTCAGCAATGGCTGAACATTTCGGTCCAATCAATCAACGGGCAAATCAAAATCGAATTAAAAACAAATAATGATACGAACATATTCAATGTGTTTGTGAATCTTCATCAACTTGGATGGCTAGGACATATGTCACGCACACCAGCTAGACACTAACCTTGACGACCAATGTTAGCTGAATTATGATTAGTCTGTAAATTGGGAAGTAGGAGTCAGATAAAAGGTGTCATTAATCCATGAAACCACTGACTGTTAGTGTGAGTGAAATAAAGAGGCATATGCTGCTTGGACGGGGTTCTCCTTATCGTAATATGCTGTCAGTGAAGATCGTCGGTGACATGACTAAAATTGTCCTCAGTGGAGCATACGTAGACACACTGCATATTAAAATCTAGATTTCAAAAACCCTCACAAATCCTCTTCCCAGTACATATTCATTCTAGTTATTTTATCTGTTTGTATAAGTTTACTGAAATTGTGGTAAGTTTAATTCATGTAACCTTGTGGACATTTCTACACTGATTGGTCCCTCCTTTCATTCAATAACTGTTTAGTGTCTGACAGTTTTTTTATCTTTGTTTACAAATTTCAAGATACGTCTAAATTGCTATATAACAATCCTATTTTGGTTAGAACTTTGGAAAAGAGTATTCTTTGTGGACCGACAGCCTTTGAAATACATATTTTTTCTACGTTGAATTTACGAATATATTAATGTACATATGTGGTGATCCACGAAGTGTACTATTTTTAAAAGACTCCTCTTGGGATGGGATAGACGTTATGTTTTTAAAGTCACACTGTTTAATAACCGCTTCAGTTCTTCAGCAGTACTGTGTAAGACCAAATTCTGAAATAAGAAATATATCAGTTACTTCTGAAACAAAAAATGTTAGTCTGCCATTCCTAGATTCCAGTTGATATAAATAGCAACTGCAGAATGGCTAACTTTAACTCGTAGTCGTCAAATTTAGTGCTTCAAATTTAAAAAGATAACTGAGCTCTGTTAGTTGCATAGCTAAGCCTCTATACGACCTTACCAGTGACCATCGACAAATCTGAAGACACTGGGTACTCAAAAGTTGAAGCATAACTGCTGAAATAATTAAGTAGTTACTTTAAGTTATATACGATGATAATATTAATAGAGTGCTATGCATAGTAACAGTCAACTTACTTTCAGCTTTCGAAAAACCCAAAGGATCCGAATGTCGTCGAGGAATACCACTTGATAATGGAATGTTACTTCTTGGTGAAGGATTACTTTTCACTTTACTTTCTAAACTGGTTCTGATATGCGAATTGTTAGTAAAAGTTGATAGCTAACCTGTCAAACTGTTGACTACTTTGTTGTGATTGGTCTTCGCCAAGATTGACTTGAAGCGATGAATTACGCACACCAGGTTGATTCTTCGAATAAGAAGACGTACTGCTATTTAGATCAGTGTTAGTCAGTAATTCAGTTTCTTTTATATCCAGTTTCTCAGTATTTCTGAGTTTCGAGATCTTATTTATGCTTCTTCGTTGACCTACACAAGGTGGTACATTCAATAAACAGACTTTTTGTATTCTCTTTGGCATTTCAGTTTCTTTGATTTCAACAGGCAAGCCTGATTGTTCTGATAATGATTTACACCTCTGATTGTTATAATCTTCATATTTCTCCTCTTTGGAAAAGTGATTTTGAAATGTATTCCTGCAATCCGTTCTCCGCATATTGTGTCCCTCTGTCAGTTTAGTTATTATAACATCAACACTGTCTTCTTTGCTTGACATTCTTTTAACTTTCGACTTATCGTCTAATAACCTGGGTGGACTTCGTCGACTTATTCTCAAAGAACTAGGATTTTTTGGAGAATGGCAATCTTTTTGTTCACCTCTATAAAAAGAAATACTTATTATTTTAGTGAAAGATGCACAATAATACAACATTTTAAAGGATACTTTGTATAGACGAAGATTTAATCCCATGGGTGTCTGCATCTGAAGTCATTTTAGAGATACAGAGTTTGCGCACAATCTTGTTTTGTTATTGGCCATATTCTACCAATCACATCAGTCATAATTACAAAATTTGGCATTCCCCTTATAAACTTTCATTTAAACTTTATCGACTCACTTTTCTATTATCATCCATCTGAGGATCATCTTATTATTAGAAAAAAGCATATTTGTGCGGAATATATTCCAGTCAAGCCAACGCAATGATTTTTAAACGAATACAAACCTAGTTGGTGATGATTGAATATCCATCGAAACAACCAGATTATCAGTTTGATGGTCTACTATTTAAGCAAGGAAACCTAACTTCTGCTTACCATCATTGCTTAAGTGTCATGTAGATGAATGATCCATAACTGTTTGTTTTTCAATGAAGAAAAAATCCCCATTTAGACATTTAGAAAACAGAAAGATTGAGCAGAGAAATATTTACTTTTCAATTAGATCCTCATCTCTGACTCTACTCTAATATACACAGAGAGCATTTTAATTACAATACAACAGTTTGCCAATCAAGTGGCGATAAGTTTGTTAACAATAATTAAACAGTGTCAATGGGTTAATAGTTAACGAAGAAAATCAATACAGATTTAAAAGGTGGAAGTGGATAGAATAAATTAATTTTACAAGAATAACACGTAAATTAAAGATAAAGTGGTCAAAATAAATAAAAATATAATAATTTAGACAAATATAATTTTATAGGTTTAGGGGGAGGGGGTGACGCAGTCCTGTTTATCCATTCTTGTGACGATGGCCACGGTAGGGAAAGTGGCTGTACACATTTTTTCTGTACACATAGGCTTGGTTTCTTCAGATGAATGCCAATCGCCTCAGCCGTCTGTAGAAGACGAACTCGCAAAGCAAAATTAAGATAAGTCGGAATGCGATAAATAATTTTCAGTGCTGTATTAACACCAATCTTATGCTCAGTATCAACGAGGTGGGCTAAAATAGAGCTACGAATAGATCTTTTTTGTCCCCTCCCCCTAAACCTATAAAATAATATTTGTCTAAATTATTTATTATATTTTTATTTATTTTGACCACTTTATCTTTAATTTACGTGTTATTCTTGTAAAATTAATTTATTCTATCCACTTCCACCTTTTAAATCTGTATTGATTTTCTTCGTTAACTATTAACCCATTGACACTGTTTAATTATTGTTAACAAACTTATCGCCACTTGATTGGCAAACTGTTGTATTGTAATTAAAATGCTCTCTGTGTATATTAGAGTAGAGCCAGAGATGAGGATCTAATTGAAAAGTAAATATTTCTTCGCTCAATCTTTCTGTTTGTTTTTCAACACACAATCAGCCAAGCCAGGCTGCCAATCTGCTGTCAATCTTAATCATCCACAGTTAGAAGGAAATGAGTATGTTGTTAAGTGATTGTGAGAATGAGATAGCCTTGAACTGGCAAACCACTACTGATGTAATGAGCGAGGGGTGAAGATAGCGTATATTAGATGGTAAAGTGACAGGCTGGTTACCCGGAGTCTACTAGTTCGAGTTCTTCTGCAGACCCTAATTTTATTTTATCTTCAATCATCATCCTTGGTGTGTCAGACTTCGAATAACACGTATTGTTCTGGTAATAAGACCAGTGAAAAGAAACCTCATAATAATTCAGTATTACTTCTTAAAGTTTATTACTATCATGAATCTTATTGCTGGATACTATAACTAATGACTTACATTCTCCTTTTCACTATATAAGATAAAATATTGAAATCTAAGGTTCATAATGTTATCGAGGTCCTCCGAAATACTTTAGTGATATATTTTTCTTTATATTCAGATAAAGAAAGGGTTGTGAGATATAAAAAGATGAAATTTGATGCTGTTGTATTGTGATAACTGGAGAAATAATTTTAAATGCGAATAAAAGGTGATAATTATTTTCAACTTGATATGAATTACAAGAGGCTTAGAGACGCAGGGATAGAAGGAATTATAGGTGTGAACAAAATGAACATGTTGTAAATGAGCTGTTGTATTGTGATCTCAACTAACTTGGAGGTTAGTTTTATCACGAACAATCGGTGCACTCAATAAGCTACATTTTAAGATTTGTGAACGAAAAAATCTTTTTAAATTTACCGCTTACCAGTTAACTTAAAGCGTTAAAGTAAAACATGACATTCACTTGCAATAATTATTACTGCTGAAAAGATTTTGAAAGAAATATATGTTATTTGATGACTGGTGCTTTAATAACTCTGTATAATAAATAACTTGTGAGTTCCTGAGAGGTCTAAGTCACCTTTCTTTGGCAGTTTCACAGCTCAGACTCTGTTCCATTTGGTGAGTAGCTTTTCTTCCTCAAACAGTTTCCATAGTAATGGCATAAGCATGTCCCTTGAGGTGTCTACGTTCGTTCTCAGTACCTCTGGAAGGTTCCATCTGGTTCTGCTAATTTTCTGGCTCCCAGTATATTAATGGCCTCCAAGACCTCTGTGTATACTAGAGATTAGGTGTTCACTGTTAGTGATGTGTCTGCTGGCGGTATTTCTGAGCCACTATCAGGTGGTGATCGATTCAGTAGTCCTAATTTTTCATCTGTTTCAACTCACTGGTAATTGGTTCTGCCTGACTACCTCTCGCTAGCTTCATTTAAATTAACCTATTCCTGAATAGTGAACTGGTTATTTTAAAAAAATGTTGTTATTAGATGGCTGGAGGCAATCTTCAGGATGCCTTGCACCTACATTTCGTGCTTGTTGGCGCTCAGCAGTCAACAAGGCATATCTGCATTCTTGATATAAATCATGTCCCTTCTGAGGTTCGAACCTGTGCCCTCCAGTGTTCTGCAATCGGAGACGTTACTACTGATCTAATCCAGCTCACAACTGACATCCTGTGAGACTATATTAGATACCTTAGCTGAACATTAGGTAGTAAATAACTTGTGTCATGCGTCATTTTCTGAGAGTGCACCATGATGCCAAGACACCTAGCATGTTGGCCACATTGCAAACCTGATTGACAGAATTCACACTGAACCACTTAAAGGACTAGACTCATAATACTAGTTAGTGTGCAGTCAAAGTATTTTACATAATACCTCCAGCCTGTTCTACCTCAGTAAAACGTAAAAGCGTCTGCATCTTTCTTAACTCTCCTTTCGCTCCTGCATCCAGTGAATTGAAGATTATATCCAGCTTATCCCTTCGTTGTTTATTTCTACACGAGTTCATCTTCAGCCTCATCATCTTTCTTCTCTCAGTCAGTTTATTGGTATCTATAGTCAGCCATTGTTTGTATTTCCTGTCAATCCAGCCTAAGACTTCTATGCAGGTTTCCCTCCAGATTGCTTTCAGAGAATTCTGGTGTTTTCCATGTATGTTTCCATGGTAATGTTGATAAATGCATCTCACATTTTCCTGATGACTGCTGTGAAGACATACTTTGTTCCTTAGTTCTTCGAATTTTGAGCACTGAACTTGAATCATGCCTTATCTTCGGCTCTTTTTGAAGTCCTTCAACTGGATCTTGAAGGTTCCGTGAATTCAATATTCATCTGAGCTTTCCTCTGCTGTTTTTCTCAGTCTTATACCCAGCACGATGCATCACCATTTTCCTGAGGCTGAGATGAAGTTTATTGAGTATTTCTTGTGCGTCCATCTAGTTAAACCCACGTCCCTTTGTGCACATCGTTGTTTGTGCATATGCTGCTTCTATCCACTAAATGGTTGGAGGTGAAGAAGTTTTTAAATAGCTCTCTGCTCACATTCATTACAGTCAGCCCCAAATGACCCACAACGAGTTTGCTTTCTTTGCTCTTTCCCTGTCTCCAGTATTAAAACTGGCTAGTAAACTAGGAAAGGTTTAATTAGACCTTAAGTGTATAATTTCCCTTTTTTCACAATTTAATAACTCACTTCTTAATCTGTATTTCATTTTCTTAGCTAATCATTTGGACGTGTAAGACTACCAACTAACACATGACCATCCTTCTTCAAGTTTATCTCGCCAGTTATTTTTCGATAAAGAGTTGCAAACTCGGTATTCAGATAAATATTATCCCTAAAATCTCAATAAAATGTCTATTCTTCTATGTTTTATGTCTTTATCATATCAGTTCCCCGCCAAAACTAACGATCTCTGATCCAAAAATGGTAAGTTTCAGGAAACTCAGCTAAAAAGTTATTCAGTTGCCATAAACTTTTTATTCCAAATGTGAATGAAACAAACTTACTCATCACCACGTTTTTCACTGAAAGCACGCCGCACATGGAACCATGCCTTTTTGCACTTGACATAGTGTGTATTTGATTTTCCCAGAGTTAATGGATTACATTTGTTCACCTTTACCGTATTATCAGTAGTTTCTTTTTTCATCGGTTTTATAATTATTGCTTGATTTGCTACTCGTGTTTTCTGTATAAAATCACTGAAGTGATTAGCTAATTGTGAATCTAATTTGGTTAACATTAAGTGTAATAGGGCTTCTGTACTTTTTAATCTACTTGTTATTAGAGAAACTGTTTGACTATACAAATTTTCTTGTTCAAAGTTTTTTTCAACACTGATACTGCCTTCAATTTTGTTTGTCTGACGAATAAATTGTTTAATTAAAAGCAAATAACGTGGAATTCGTTGTATAGGAGCTATTAAAAGTGTAGACAGTTCGGTCCCACCACACTCATTATTCTGTAGCCTCTAAAGAGAAATTACATTACAAAATGATTTAGTACATATTCTTGAATTGAGTGCATAAACTATAACAATATAAATCTGAGCTGTCACAAACTATACCATTCATTTTGTTCCTAAAAATAACCACTGTGCTTAAAAATAGTCTAAACCTAGTTGGATATGAGTGAAACCTCCTAGTAAAGAAGAGGAGTTTGCTCCTAACTTGTTTGTTTGATTATTATGTTAGTCTAAAATGAACACAAGTGACAGACATTGATTGAGCTTGTTAAGTAAATCTGAAAACCCTCAAGAAATCATTACTCAAGATAAAGATATTAGTAGACTGATAATAAAAAAGAAAATATCTACCAAACTATGGTTGATTTTGATTGGACAGTAGTAACTAGTGCAACGTGTCTAGTCCTTTCTTTGGTGTAGACTGAATTCTGTCGGTCAGGTTGTCAATGTGGTTTAACTTTATTAAAGTTCCCCCATCCCTTTCAGCGTATGTCAGCGGTTTAACGTAGATCATTTAGTGCACCAATGCAGTAAATGATCCACTGAAATTGAGGTATAGGATTTATCGCAGAAGAGGATGACAACTTGATGTATAAGGAGATTGAATCCTTCGAAATGTAAAAAATTAACACAAAATTCACCTCTTTTTATCAAACATTAATCTGAAATTTAAACTTCCATTAGTTAGTGACGCTTTCTTGAGGCCTGTCATCGTCTCCAGTTTTCTATTTAGTTTGTTGATATGTTTCTGTATGAAGCTATTTGGATATCCTGTTTCCATGAGGTAATCATGAGCACCTTCCAGGTGTGACCATGAATTGATGTCAATTAGAGAACCACTGAAAACCACCAGGGAGTACCAGGCAGCTGTTTTGTCTTAGTCTAGCACTCTTCATCAGTACACACCCACTGTGGTCTGAACGCAAGACTCTCCAGTTACATTTATTTTTATTTTTGATTACAGCTTGATTCCACACTGTATTTTTGGTACAAGTATGGAATTTTCAGTATGGATATCGGTAGCCCAAATTTCGCAGGTCGACCATAGATATCAGGTGTGCGTTGGCAGGGGATCATGGCAGGCTCATAGAAGATCTAGCCACAAGGACCCGACTCAATAGCTAGTGAACTCCAATTTCTACCAATACGTGATTTTAGCGCAGGTACCAGCCAATATCATTGGAGATTATTTGTCCTCACGCACACCCGGTGTATGCGTACTGATGTAGAGTTTCAAATAGAGATGAAACAGCTATATAGCACTGCATGGTTTTCAGTGATCCTCCGAATGACCAAAGTGCGAGATCAAACTTGAAATAATTCAGATCCCTACAAACTGTTTCTTGAAAATCACTAACATATCGAAATTATATCATTAACCTAACCGCAATGGACGCAATGGAGGTGCGCAGCTGAAGCCCTATATTCCTCTAGGAACTAAAGGATACAATAATAATAATAATAATATCCCAATTGCCCATTTTCAAATTAGTAAGAAAGAAATCTGGTAGATTCCGGTCAAATGATGAGTCCACTGCGATTCCATTTACTTGTTAACAATATCGACTGTTGAAGACAAGAAATAAATATAGAGAAGCGTTTTGCGAACACAGCAAGAAAGATAGTGTTCAGAAGAATATTTACGAAAGGAATCCCAGTGTATTCATGATTCCTTGATGCAGATGGGAAATCAGAGTACTTTCATAAAAAAAAACATATGAATAAACTAGATAGAACACAAGACACATTGACATTCCTGAAGAAACCATTATTTATCTAGTTACTATTAGATAGAGGAATTTATCAAGTGAAATTTTGTTCAAGAGACTAGCCAGTACTATACAGAGGACATTTTACGCACCAAACTTGTGTTTGTCATTTTGTAAGTAATAATTAACCCATGTTTTACAGCTCATTATTTTTTCTTCTCACATGATCATTGAAATGCCATTTCATTCGTGTGACTGAAATATATTTGAGAGTTCTGAACAGCCCTTTCTCTAGCATATGCCTATCTTTCTAACCAATGCCCGGTTATCGACTTCTCATGATAAAATCAGACACATACCTGTAATTTACGCTGGTCATAATTACTTTATTCGTATCATTGTGAATTATCGAAACACAGTATGCAAACGTTGATATAATCTCATTAGTGAGAGATAATATGAGTTTATAATTATATAATATAAAATATGTCCAAATTTCTTGATGTAACTTTAGTATTATCACACAGCTGAAATAATTTATTTTCAGAATTTAATCTAAAAAGCAATAATATTTTATCCCTATTTAACATATCTAATTATTAAGATATTACTAATGATGAAAAAGAAAAAACCGATTCCACACTCATACTGAGTTTTAATTGACTCTTATATTTTGTTGTTGGAGGGTTTCACCATGAGTTGACATTAGCTAGAGAACCACTGGAAAACCACCTGGGAGTATTGTGAATTGGCAGAAGTTAGAACTCACGGGGTTGCCATTAGATCAGGTTTCAGTGAATTAATGGTCTGCGAGTTCGCCTTGTAACCAGAATGTCCTGGGTTCGAAACCCACAGTTTGAGTGTGTCTGTCTGTCTGTCTGTTTTCGACATAGAACTTTGCACAAATGTGCGGAAGTTCAAGTCGCCACATTCCGTGTAGCACGCGAAGCAAGAGAAGAAAGTACAAGAAAAGCATAATAGAAACAGTAAGCAGAAGTGTGAGACAAAGGAGGAGTAATAACGAAGAACAAAACAGTTTCATTGGAGATCATAAGTCACAAGGAGTGGATGCATCTGCGCCACTGAGAATGATTTTCAGCCATGTCACCAATTGTTTCCAACCATTGGTTTTTACCGTCCCGAGGACCCCAACCAGCCAGGAAGTCTACACCTTCCTACGTGGCTTAGACCAACTGTTGTGGATTTCATTGACTGGTGAAGCCAAGTTTTTGTTTGACCGCCGTTAGCTTTTTTCCAGCCTGACCCTATATCCGCTAACATTGCTCGTCGAGGGAGGCGATGAATTGGCATACGTAACACATGTCCTAACCATCTCAGTCTTTGTAGCTTCACGACTTCGTCGATAGATTTCCCCTGTTTACCTAGCACTCGACGCCTAACCTCCATGTTGCTCACCTTATTATGCCACTTTACACGGGTGTGTACTGTGAAGAGTCACAAACTAGGACGAAACAGTCGGGTGTCCAGTACTCCCTGGTGGTTTTCCAATGGTTCTCTAGCTAATGTCAACTTATGACGAAACTATCCAACCAATCAAACACAATTCCTATAAAGCCAATACTCTGAAGTCGTTTATAATTATTTTTACTTGTTGTAATATCCTAACTAACCGGTTTGAACTTTAAAGGACTTCTTACAGTGTATTATTTGTTCTGATTGCCACAGTTTAATAGGAAATTATGCAACAGGATCAGCTGATTACCATTTGTATGATATAACTAGAGAGTTACCTCTAAAGACCATCCTAGTCTGAGCTGTTAGGCATCCTGTTAGTGATACTATTGTCATGCAGTTGACTTCATTGTAAAATTAACAAATATATTGCCTATTTAGTTGTCAATAACTTTGCAATTATATTTCTGTTTATGAGATTTTCCTATGAGCTGTTTAAAGGAACCTCTCTAATTGATAGGATAAACTTTACTGTTGTACAAATATCTCTGTATACAAATGCATTTGTGATGAAAGAGAAAAAAAATACCTAAAGTGATCTATAAGTTACTGGTTAATAACTAACTACTTTATACCAGACTACTTATATGTGTTAACCAGTTTCACGATATGCATTTTGCACTGTGCGAGGGGAGACATTTCTACTACAGATCTTCTGCAAACAGAATTATTTGCATCACAGTATCTGATCTTCTCAATACCATAAATGGTAATCAAGAAGGCAGGCATATTTGCATAAAATTATATTTATATTAATTGATTTATATTAGATTCCTTTAATTCCCAATTGGGACATAGGGCTTCAGGTTAGAGCTTTGAAGTTTCGGTAGAAGTGAGCTTATTTATCTTTAACTGGTTGGAGTTGCTACCCTCACGCTCAGCCTTCTTTCTTTACCGGCCGCACTACTGGCGTAGCGAGGTTTAGGAGCGCATTGGCAGGGGGTCGAATCCTGGCCCACGTGAGGCGTGGTTGGCGAGCTACGAACGCAACACAACATGCCATACTAAATTTATGGTGTCAAACAGACCAAATACTGTGTTCTGAATAATTTGGTTTCCCGAAGAAACTATCATACAATTTTATCCCTTGAACTATATACATTGCAAATCACTAACTAATTTTCAAATTATCAGTTCGATTTATTGTATCATTAGCTTTACGAAGTAGCTAGTCAGAAATCCGTTGGTTTCAACTGGTTCAGTTCTCTGATTTGACCCATACCGGGTACACAAATGATGAGCTCAGCGCCAAACGAGTGGAATGGCAGTCGGATGTTTATATCACCTAGATCTGGCTAGCGAGCACTGCTGGTTGATACGAGTGGTATACAGATGCTCAGAGCTGTTATTCTATAGTATATAGTTATACGCAGATACTTATTTGTGCGGAACCGAAAGAAATAAAGTTAACTAATAATAACTACACACGAGTTAAACTGTTGTGACAGAAAATTACCTTACCGTATTAAAATCAATACCATCTGACGTCTTCATCAGAAGTATGCAAGATCAGCGCTACGTAGGTTGCTGAATTCTCCGCACTTCAATGCTTAAAATGGTGTTCCATTTAACAGTAAAGAAGATTTGTAGCTGAGTGAGGATGAAAACTATTCGATGTTCTCCTAGTATTGGTATTCTGTCGAGGGCATTTCATTAGTAGTCTTACTGATATCTTCAAAGGTTTTTAGATAATAGGATTGATCATGAGCTGAGATCTGTTATTAGTAATAATGATATCAGTCAAAGAATTGTTGGAAACCACGATGGACTACTGGACAGCTGTTTCGTCTTAGTCTGGAACTCTTTATCACCAACGGGTTTCAACCTAAGACTTTCCGATCACGAGGTCAGCTCATAAACCATTAAGCCACTGAGACCCAACCCAACGGTCCATGAATTTCAACTTCTGGACGAATATTGATAAAGAGTCCCAAACCAGGACGAAATAGCCACCCAGTACTTTTAGGTTTCACAGTGATCCTCTAACTGATGTCATTATTATTATTATTAATTTATGACAGCTAGTGACCAATCTTGTTACCAGTCGAATCCCTGGAAACAAACACTTGACGAATATAGATAACTTACCAAGTCTTAATTATTTTTAATCACATTTTTCCATACTTATTATAAAATATGTGTAAAACACACATCGTCAAATACTTCATTAGAAGTTATTAAGATGGCTGTTGAAATGTCCACCGAAATATACGAAGGCTTAGAGTAAAACTAAAGAAAATTGCATTGATTCACTTGAACAAGCAAAACAACAGCTCTTCTAGACTCACTTTTACAATCTGACGAAATCTAGTAGATTGGCGTAAAAGTTTACGCATTGTTTTCATTGTCACAGTAAATTCAAGTAGGTAATTTTTGTATATCTCATAAAATGGTGATGAATTCAGTTGTAATTCATTCAATAACAAATCATTTAATCTGTTGTTTAATTCACAGCAGTCTTCAAAGTCTACACCACACAGAACTTTCAATAGAATGTTAACTGAATTGAAGGTTATAGAATTTTTTATGGAATGTAAATCTCGTTCCATATGAATAAGTATTTGATTATGCATTTTATACATATTCAATAGTGAATTTGGGAAAAGCTGACTAAAACAAAGTGTAAAATAAGATTTGACAGGAATTTCAAAGTTTATGTAAATCAATGAATTTCAGTGACAAGATAAGATTCTATGCATTCAACATAATCTTAACCCAAAATACTAAACTTCCAAAAAAAAAATAAACGAAAAAAAACATATTTTCAGATGTCTCTAAACATTTCTGTCGGTTAACGAGAATTTAGAGCATTACTGAACTCCACTGAATCATTTGGCTTAAAGTTACTCTCGTGAACTGCTAGGCTGAAGTCTTCTTCCTTTATGTATTGAACAAAATTATATCTGTCGCAACTTGAAAATTAACTTCTACAGACAAACTGCTAACTTAGGCAAACTAAGCAATCAAAACATTTATAGAAGTGATAGAAATTGTTTAATGAGTTAATTTATCTGATCAGCAGTGTAAAAGCAGTTGTTATTTGATAGTTGGGGGCAATCGGTAAGATAACTTGCTCCTGGATTTCGTGCAAGCTGGCACTCACCAATCAACAAGGAGTATCTGCAATCTTGAAGGAATCCATGTAAACTATTAGTGTCGAACCTGTGTCACTTAATGCTGCAGTTGGAGACGTTGTCACTAAGTTAACCAGGCTCACGACTGACCTCCTGTGAAACTGTTTTAGATACATTTACTGGATGCTGGGTAGTAATTTGTGTAATGTGTGTGGACCTGTTTTGGTGCGAACCGAATTCTGTTAGCACCCTACTGGTTACAACTTCCCACTAGAACCCCAGGTAACTACCTACCTGAATAAAACCAGTTGCTCACTAGCGACTGGGGTGCATCAGGTTGGGTGTGAGGAAAAATACTTGCCGAAGACACAGGCTGGCGGTCGTGCTATGTAGGGAATTGGCAGAAGTTAGAATTCATGGGCTGGCCATTGGATCAGGTCCCAGTAGGCTAATAGTCTGCGAACTTACCTTGAAATCAGAAGGTATTGGGTTAGAACCTCGATGGGTGAGTACTGATGGAAAGTCCAAAACTAGGTTGATGAAAGAGCTGTCCAGCACTCCCATGACGGTATCCTGTAGCCAATCAATCAAATCCCTACAAACCAATACTTAAATCTCTGGCAGTCGTTTAGATTAACGAACAATTTATTAGAATTTCAGTCTTAAAGTCACCAAGTATTTAATTACTGGAATAACAGCAGTAACGGTGAGATTCAAATCAGAGAACTACATTAAACCTTTCATATCTTTCCACTTTTCTTTAACATTACTTTTTGCATAAGTTTTAAGATGAATAAATGTTTCTCTGTCTAACTTCTGTTTAGTAAATTAACGTGATAATGAAAAGCGGAAATTGGAAAGGAGAAAATCTTGTAAGTAACAATCCTTTGAACTGGTGAATACTGTATAGTTTTTTTTTTGGGTAGATTACATAAACGTGCACACATACCTCAGATCTTCTTTGCATAGTCCACATTTTGCTTGGATAATTTTAGCAAGTGTATCAATTAAAACGCGTAGTGTATGACAGTAATTACGCTCCGTTTGTATCAGTTCATTGATAATGTGTTTAAATATTTCAATATGCTCATGAGTATTTGTTTTTAATAATATTGTACTATTAGTTTCATAGTTATTTAATGGAATAAGAAAACTTTTTCTTGGCATTATTTTAGGTCTTTTTAATTCTTCCATTTTCTCTAGAAAGATAAAGTAACTAATAACTTATCAACAAACAAAAAAATTAAGAGAATACATCACATACTACTTAAATTAACAGTGATAATAAATGACAGTAGTGAATGTAGTAGTGGGGCAAAAAACCCAAATGAAATTCGTTGAATTTATTAGTTTCAGTACACACCTCTTCAACTGACTACTGTAAACGCGTCATTATGTAAATATGCACAACATGGAAACTAAAGTTATCACATAAGAAGGCGTAATGAATTATTACTTTTATTGTTAGGCGTTGGTGGCTTAGCGGTAGAATGCTTACCAACCACGCATGTGGTCCGGGGTTCGATCCCTGGCTGATGCACTGCTTTACCTCACTAAGTCGGTAATAAGACCTGCAAAAAAGAAGGAAGGTTGAGAATGAGGCTTTCAACCTCCTCTGGTAGAAATAAACACCAAGGCAAGTGAAATTTCAAAGCTCTAGCTTGACGCCCTATGTTCCACTGGGAACGTAAAGGCATATAATTTAAAAAAATATTACTGTTATATATCCTGTTACTATTATTGCTCTTGTATATATAAAACTAACTCTCGAATCTTTCACTGTTATAAAGCTTTTCATTTAAAATCTCTCTTTTCCTTTCAAAGAGAATCGAATTATTTTTAAAACACCTAAGACGATGGTTGAAATCTATCTGTTGTGTCTATACACATGTAAATCGGCATACAATAAGCACCAGTGGTTCAGCAGTAGAACACTAACCAACCACATATGTGGTCTGGAGCTCAGTCCCCGGTTGATGCCCTCTAAAACCTCTCTAAATCGGTAGTAAGTCGAGTAAAGAGGGAAGATTGGGCTTGAAACTGGTAAACCCACCCAGTTATGATAAAACCACTGATACTGGAAATTTTAAGCTCTGGCCTGAAGCCCTATGTGACACTGGAAATGAAACGGAATGAAATAAATAAAGATAATGGGATTTTCACGAATATTCCCAATCGAACATTAACAGAGAGAAAACCATTAGTTCAGCAAAGAGTCTCTTTTCGGCAAATTCATTTTCTTAGATGTACAATAGCAAATATATATAGATTATTTTGTAGGTGTATGTGTACATTAAGTTTGTGAAAACAAAAATACAATTGGTTATGGTTATTTTAACTAAACAGGTGAGAATTAGTAAGTTTTTGGTGGAGTTACTTAATACAAAAGTATTCAGAGAAATCGGGTGTTGATGTAAGACGGCAGTAACAAAAGTGATGACTTCTCACAATCGATTCTCAAAGAAGAGTTATGTAGTGACATGAATAGTTCGGGGAAAGATTTGTACTCAGGGTGAACAATGGAAGCAAAATAAAATATGGAATTATTCACAAAGTTTACTCTTGAAATAGAAAACAGATCTAAAATTCCTTTTCTTGATGTTGAACTTACAAGAAGAGCTGACGGAACTTTAAGAAGGTTCATCCATAAGAAACCACGTGAAACGGCCAACTGACAAGCTTCTACAGCTGGGTATCAATCACTAGAATAAGATACCTAATTAGAACCCTTACTACTCGCGTCCAACGTATCTGCAACTCGGATACCCTGGAAGAAGAACTACACTTCCTGAAAAAAATCTTCATAAAAATGGTTATCGACCAAGAATCATAGACAAAAACATCAAACAGAAAATCCACGAGGAAAGGCGCCATCCTTGCCAAAAATGATACCTTATATGAACCTCGACTTAAAGGTGACCTACTTAGTGATATCATTAAGAGGAGAATTTCCACTCCTTTAAGAAGAACTTTCTTTGCGGCAACATTGAGATTAGTGTTCTCTAGTCGACCGCTGACCTGCAGAAGCCCAAAGGACAAGATCCCACACCCGACGACTTCTATGTGTACATATCAGTTCACCTGTTGCCGTGGAGCCAGGTACTTTGGTCGTTCGACGTGCATCCTCTCAAAAAGGGTCAAAGAACAGTATCCAGGGTGGCTGCAGAAAGGAAGTAGTGGTTGTATAAGCAGTGCAATAACCGAACGTCTCGTCATCACTGGTCATTCCATCTCAACAAACGCCTCCTTCAAAGTAACCTAAAAAGTGAAGAACAACCTGCCAAAGACAATACGTTTCCGTCTTCTTTGCATTCCCAGAAGCCTTGGTCATTCAGTTGGAAGAACCAGAACTATACATACAAAAGAAAATTATTCAACCACTTCTACTATCATGAAAACAATTCTGTTGATCTGATTGAAGTTCTACTTTTTTGCTTGTTTTTCTAACTACTTAAAACTCTTGCATTCCCTTAAAACTTTTACTTAATTCCGTATTTTATTTTGCTTCCATTGTTCACCCTGAGTACAAATCTTTCCCCGAACTATTCATGTCACTACATAACTCTTCTTTGAGAATCGATTGTGAGAAGTCATCACTTTTGTTACTGCCGTCTTACATCAACACCCGATTTCTCTGAATACTTTTGTATTAAGTAACTCCACCAAAAACTTACTAATTCTCACCTGTTTAGTTAAAATAACCATAACCAATTGTATTTTTGTTTTCACAAACTTAATGTACACATACACCTACAAAATAATCTATATATATTTGCTATTGTACATCTAAGAAAATGAATTTGCCGAAAAGAGACTCTTTGCTAAACTACTGGTCTTCTCTCTATAGCGAGATTTAACGTAATCCCTTCCACAGCGTTTCGGTCTGTATCCTAGTTTGCAATGTGTAGTTTAGTTATACGTTTTAAATTCACAACAAGTTAAACTGGTGATGTTACTTTTGAATTCATATCGTTTTGACAAAAAGGCTTACATGATAATGTGCTGAAATAATCACGAAGATGTACAGTGTCTGATAATATTCAATGGGGCAAATTATATCGTCAGTAATGATCAAAGTATTCTCATAGACAGATGATTTAGTTGCAAGGCCTCCATTGTTCTTGTAGACAGTATCTTCAACACTAAACTTATCAGTGATGCTGAAGTAATTGTCTGAAAGGATAATGTGTGTTTAGCACTCAGCTTAGAGGATGCAGAAAAAAAATTAAATGCATCCACTGACAAATTCTCACCACTATTTCAGTAGTTAGATTAATTACTACTCACTACATGAGTAATTAAAATATGCCGAAACTAGATGAATTTTTGTTTGGTAGTTTCACTGACTGTAAAGTTTATCAGAACTGTAAATACAAATCTCAGGTCCTGACCTCTCAATACCTCTTACTTTTACTTTTTACTATGTTTTTTGATTAGTCATAACAACTAACTACTTGTGGACTATTATTATAATAATTATTACTAAAGTGAAACAGCATTAATGAATAATACATGAATATAATAAATGATTTACGTTTTGTAGTATTTAAGTTACCTTCGGTAGACATTTTATCATCCTGTATTTTCGAAGTTGACTTTGAACAGCTAACTTCGTCGTCGTCGTCATCATCATCATCCTCTTTCACTGCATCAGCTTTATGGTCATATATTTGTGAAGTACTGAGACTATCAAGTGATACTAAATTTGAGATATCGTTTCCAGTTGTAGAGCAGTTTTGATCGTTGCTATATGCCAAACATCTATCTTCATCAACTGTTGGAGTTAACGGACGAAGAGATGTTTTGTTACTCAAGGCTGGAGAGATTTGTAAATTGTTAACGGATAGTTTATCCTGACATAAATAGAAGAAGAAAGAACCTAAAGATAATCGGATACTTAGAGCAGAAAATCATTTAAGTGAATAACTAAAAAGCAGATTGTGATGGACGAAAATTAATTTTTTGATGGAGACCAAGAATATAGATGAAATATATAGTTTCATAGTTAACCTAAATAAAATGACGTTTAGGTCAATTAACTTCCTTTAAGAATTTTGATAAAGTAGAAGGATATCTGTTGAAGAATGGGCAAAATTTTCCCAAACAGAGTGATAGTGATTCAGTTCATGAAAGTTAAGGTTCTGAGGAAGCCTTCTACAATGTGTTTATCGTAAATTTAATTGTTTCTGTGAGGCTGGTTACGCAAGCTGTACATAAAGAAGTTTACCCTATAGTAGTCTTAAGCAATGCAAGGAATAAGTAAGACAATACACAACGCCATCTTATACCACTTGATGAATAGCGAGCATCAGAGCAAAATAGTAATTTTTACAATAACAGTGGAATACTCGGCAATCTTTAGAAATTGAAAAAAAAACAGTTAGAGCTTATACACCAGGTTACCGTCTCCTTAAGAGGATAGTGATTGTTTTAGGTTTGACATAGTAATATCTTTGCAAATTGTAAAATCATTTTTCTCAGAAATACACACATTCGAGCACAGGGAATATTTTATAGACGGTTTCAGCGAAGAAAGTTTCCTGTTCGACGAAGTCATCAACTAGGCTGTGTATTCGTGTATACATGGTAGATGCGTGAGGAAGTTTGAGAACTATTTCCGGTTGAGGGTCAAGTAGTAACTAATAATTACAAAATAAATGGGAAAATTGCACTGAAAACAAGGCAGGATCATAATTACTGAGAAAATTGACATTTTTGCGCAATTAAGGATTGGAAATGTGTTTTCATCTAACAAGACTGATAACATTTTATCGATGTAGTCTTAGCGATCCATCAGGACAATGCCAGAACCTTTGTCGGGGCGTGTCACAACCAAGTCTTTGTTCTTTAGAATCTCACGCAATTGCTTTCTGTGCTCGGCTGAAATCACAGAAAGCAATTGCGTGAGATTCTAAAGAACAAAGATTGGAAATGTAGTAATAACAAAATAGACAGGAAGTTAGGGTAAAAAACAGTAGTGCAGATAGGAATTTAAAAAATGTGAAAATAACAGAAATAAGCAAGGGGTTTGAAGATGAAAGGTAACAGAATAGTCATTATTGAGAGAAATGACTGTTTATGATGGCTATGCAAAAGATAAAGGTTCAATGTATTTCTGTTGAATACACTGCATGAACTTGAACTTTTGAATCACTAGTGCCTAATCTATGCCCAGATGCCTTGACTTCACTCCATTTGAGAGGTTTAGTCGGATCTTCTTTATGACTCTGAAGCATTTCTCAAATGCAGCCGGGTGCCCTGTGTTGACTAGATGTTCCGTCATGAAGCTACATATACACACCTACATCCTCCCTTTGCTGGCAAGACTGAATAGTATTCCTGAGGATGTTTTATACGTGGACGTATAATATAATCTATCTATTCAACTTCTAAAGAGCAAATCAACTGGTATACGCATGTTGGCTGTAGCACTGGGTGACAAAGTTTCGAGTCTCAGAGGGGATATGAGTTCCTTTAAGGTTACGGATACGCCTTGCTGACTGGTGAGTGCCAACAATCATGAAACCTAGGTGCAAGGTTTATTGACGATTGCCTCCAGCTATTTAAAAGCAAAAATTTGGAGTACTTTGTGATGTCTAGTCAGCTAGAATGGTTGCCACAGTGAAAAGCTAATTGATAGAAATTGGTCTGTAACAAATAAAGGACTAGACGCATGATACTAGTTGCTTAATACCTTGCGTTCAGCAAAAGTATTTTATTGTTTGGTGTGGCTTATTATCAGTTTTTTTATTTATGTTGAGTGAATTTGGTGATTAAACTTCCTTGTTTATTTTCAACTGGTTAGACAAAACATAAATCTGATATTATCTGAACTATGATTAGAAACTTTTGTTTTGTTCTGTACACTTTCACAGCAAAAATTGTGCTCAGTAGCGCAAATTTTAACTTTATTTGTTCCCCAATTGTCTACCGAAGGTCAATGGTAACAGATTTCATTTACAAATTTAAACTATGAAGAAAAATGAACTACTACTCGGTAAATACATGAATAGTTATCTGGGCATCTCTGGTAGTCAAGTAATGGTCTCCAGCTAAATTCTTCAAAAGTGCTGTCACCTTAGAAGTTCCCTAGGTAGGAGAAACGTTATCTAATGCATTTTCGTTTTTGATTGTCTTCTAGTTGGTGTTCACTGTGACGAAATTCACCGCTGGAAACTGAAGTCATTCAAAGCTGTTTAACATGTCCCTACATTTATATCAGTTCACTCTTAAGATTCACATTATTATTTCTTACTTTTTCAGTTTCACACTGAATAGTTGGCTATTTAACATAAACTCTTTAGATGTAAAACACCTGGTAGAAGTTTTCAGTGAGAATGTGATAACAAGAGTCATTTTATCATGGAGTATTTGTTTGGAAAATCCTTTCTGAACGATCTAACTACCTATTTGGATGTTCCAAATAACACTGTAATTATTATCTGTTTTCTTCCTAGAATGTATATCATTTTTCTGACATTTTCATATCACGTGTTGCCCTGATCCTTACTATTTGTCTTTCTCATTGTTCATTTTGCTGAATTTAATGGTTTTCTTTGTAGTTGTGCAATCCACTAACAATGTATTGTTTTACGATGTGACTTTGTCTGAGTGAAGCAGGGTGATTCTGACTTTGGACTATCTACGGAAAGCGTTGATTTGGGATTCTTGCGGATACAGTTTTCTTCCTCACCTTGTAGGGAATATTCTAATTAATTCTAAGGTACTTCCTACGTTTGAATTCCAATTAACTAAATTTGCTCTACAGCACTTCTTTAGTGCTAAAAACTTGTATAGGCTGTATGGCTACTTAACGACACTGTTGAGGTAATTTTGACTTTTTGATGTTATTATTGTTGGATACGTTGGACCGATAGGAAGGCTCTAGGAGATCTGGATTTTGCAGATGATATATGTCTAGCGTCTCACAAACTCGAAGACTTGCAGGCGAAAACCAACAAACTGGTAGAAGAGGCTGGGCAGCGAAGACAGGACTGCAGGCGAACATAGAGAAGACAGAAGTGATGAAGATGAAGGTAACCAACGAACCGCAACAACAACGACAACAATCAGCACCAATCATCATCAGTAGGAGAGATTTGACAGAGGTTACTTCCTCCACTTATCTAGAAAGCATCGTTTTAACCACAGGCAGTCGGAACGGACGAAGATATCAAATGCAGGATGGAAACACCTTCATCAACCTGAAACCAATTTGAAAATCTTCTGTTGTCACTCACCATAAGGAACAAGATATGGTTTTTCAACACAAATGTGAAGTCACTTTCTTTTTCTATATAGATCAGAAACTTGACGCTTCGCGTCAAGCATTTTCAGCAGGCTACTGCAGACTTTAATCAACAGCTGCCTGGACCAGCTCCATACTGAAGGTAAAATGGCCAGATAGTCGTTGTAAGAAGAAACTCCGTCTCAGAACAAACCAACCAAGAGTCGATCGTTCGACAAATATGTAGAAAAAATATTCATTCAGATATCTATAAAACACAACATAATCGAGCAAAGAATATTCTTTTCGATAAATTCCTCTTCTGGCTCTACAATTATATACATGTTTATATACACAGAATATTCAAGGTTGGTAGTTAATAACAATCTTAGTGTTTTTTAAATAATATCGATTTGTAAAGCAAGATCAATGCAATTACAGTTCACTAAAAATACTTAAATTATAATAGTAATAAAGATATAATAGCGAGTAGGATATCAACTAAAATTAGGAAATTTTCACGAAAATTGAGAATCATTCAAACCTAGATGGCCAAGGTAGGGACAGCGTCTGAACTAACTTCTTTTGGACGCACAAATTAGGCTTTTTAATGTGGATCCCAACAGCCTCAGCAATATTTAGTAATCGAACTCTTAAGGCGAAGTTGAGATTTGTTGGTATCCGATAAATAACTCTGAAAGCTTGATTAACATCAATCCTATGTTCTGTATCCACCAGATGAGACAAAATAGCGCTACGGATAGATTTTGTTTGGCCTTTGCTTAACCACGCAGGGTGATGTTCGGAAATTCGACGAGAAACACGCCTAATTGTGCGGTCTATGTAACTGGCTCCACAGGAGCAATTAAATTGGTAGATACACATGGATGAGGCGAAATTAGGCAGTTTGTCTTTTACTCCCGAACGCAGAAGAGAAGTAGTCTTAAAGATACAACGTAATTCAGCAGCAGGGAATGCTCGTTTTACCGCGTTTCTAATACGCTGTGTTAGTATCTCGCTAGTGTTGTCCCCAAGGAACTGCATCTGAAAGAATAAGGCCTTTTTTGGAACTGTTGGTAACTTCGGCTGCTTAGGTTTCAAATTCATATTCTTATCAATAAACTTTTCAGGATAACCATTCTCACTTAGCAACCGTTTAATATTATTCAGTTCTTCATCAAGACATTCGTCCGAGCAAATCGCTCTTGCTCTGTGAACCAGGCATAAGTTGAGGAAGCCGTCGACTGACATCGCTCGCCAGGCCATCACTCGAGTGAAGTTCAAATAGGAAGCGATGAGTGGGTTGTTGGTGTGAGGGCGAAATGGGGGGAGTCGTGCGAGAAATAGATGAGAGATTATGGGCAATCATGGAGCCAGGTGAAGAGGAGAGCAGAAAATTGAGCAAAGTAAAGATGTGTTGTTGAATTTCTACGTTCCACTCGGAACTCAAAGGAATAATAAAATAATATAATGCAATTGAGTACAGTCATAGGTTTTACTACAGATAACCGTCTTTTTGCTATCCTCGGTGAGTTTTATGACTGTGAGGGTGAAGTGACAGGCTACAACCATTTACCTTTAGAAATGTTCATTAGTGTTTATGTTTCTCCTTATATGTTATTAAGCTTTCACTATCGTTACTGGATTTTTTCAACTGATAGTTTTTTTAAACAGCTTATCGTAAAATAGCTGTAATGACTTACTAATTGTGATGTTTTTGATGCTGATGAGATAATTTCCAGTGCAATATACGCATCGTCTTCCTTTGAATCATTCATTTCAGATATTCTTGGCTTATCTGTTGAAACAAATGTTTCATTGACACAGTTGTCGGCTTAAAAATGCACAGAAATAGAGTTAACAGTTAGACATCTCTGAACGGGTTACATCTAAACAAATTTTCGAAGTATTTATTGTACATTAATGTTTATCAAAGTTAGAGATGGAATATCTAAAGCTAGTAGAATAAATCATCAGCCTATCTGATAAACTGAGATAATCCGAAATGTATCAGTCGTGTTATACATGCACTAAGTGTAGTAAAATGACACTCAATTAAGTGAAATACAGTTGAAGTCAATCTCGTTAACATAAAGCATATGGTGACATATATATGTAAGCAGTAAGATAGCCGGAAACTAAATATCGAACCTATAGAATTTGTGCCAATAAATAAAATGGGGATTTGTATGTCACTCACTACCACCTGGTCTAACTATCTCTTTCACAAGATTCGTTTATTATATGAGGCTTATCATTTTTTATGAAATTGGTCAAAACTTGTTTTTGAATTAACCTCCTTAAGTGTAAGTGATAGGATAGTAATTATTTCTATGCAGGAGGCGGCAGATTTAAAGAAGTAAAAGAAAAGTTAGAAATGACAAGCTCATCCACTTACCGTTATTTTGTCTTAAATAATGTATTTAACAAAGACCGACAACTTACAATATCTACGATATAGTACAAAAAGTTTACTGCTTCAATAGAATAACTAGTGTCAGAATTACTATTAACAAATTAATAATTCGTTGGATGACTTCATTATGAAGTGACGTCGGTTAGAGAACCATTGGAAATCCTGGCGGTACTGGACATCTGTTTCGTCTTAGTTTGAGACTGTCCATCAGTACGCACCCACCACAAGGCTTCAAACTCAGAACCTCCTGGTTGTAAGGCAAACTCGAAGATCATTAAGTCATTGGGACCCGATCCAGTGGCCACCCCATGAATTCTAACTTCTGCCAATTTATGATATAGGGTGACCACTAGTCAGTGTCATCCGTGGTGGGTATTTGTATTTACACCCAACCTACTGTGCCCTACTAGTCACGGCTTCCCACTAGAACCCCAGGCAAGTGTCTGGATAGGGCCAGTCGCTAGTGAGCATCAGATTGCTTTGTAACCAGAAGGTCCTGGGTTCGAAGCCCGATGGTGGCTGAGAACTGGCAAAGAGCCCCAAACTAGGACATAATACCTGTCCAGTACTCCCAGATTCTCCAATGGTTCTCTAACCAATGTCACCCCATGATGAAATCCTCCAACCAATCAAACGAGATCCCTACAAACCAATACTTGAAAATTTATAATTGTCTTATTTTATTGTTCTATTTCCAAAAGTACATTTTTTCAAAACAGAAAAGAATAACAGAAAGTGAATAATTTATAGAACTGTATCAAGATTGAAAATCTGATACTTCAGTAGGAAAAAGAAAACTATTTTTTTATTTGCTACGTAAATAAAGCTAGGAATTATTTGAAATCGAGAAAAACATATATTTTAATAGTGCCACTGCATAAGATCTAATGTTTAGATAAAACAACCAACACACCTCAACAAATAGTGAAAGTAAAAAAATTAAATAGTTTTAAGCAAAAAGCTGAATGCCCTATAGTACTGTTATCATTCGAATATATATATATATATATATAATGACGACATTAAAACTCCTTAAACTGAACACACCTAGGTCGATAAACACTTATCAAAACCGAATGAGCAATACTTCAATAAAGTTGTAAATGCACACATTTCACGTCTGCATAATTAAACAAGTAATAATTATAGCTAATAATGCTTTTTGTGCATATTATTATTGTTTCGTTGGGATCCTAGTGGAACATACAGCTTCAGTAGCACATCTCCACTTTGTCCTATTCTCTGACGTCCTCTTTAACTGGACCCACGACCACCCATAAGCTCTCATCTCCTCCTCCCACGACCTCCTACATGGCACTCTTGGACTCATCCCCAACTTGTCGTCTACCATTCGGGTTCCACTTGAGCTCTGGCCTGGCGTGCAGTGTCGCTCAACGGTATCCTAAGACTGTGTTCTATCCATCTTCATTTTCCTGCATATATTTATTCAGCGGTAGGTTCTTGCCTAAAGTTTCTTGGTGTTAGTTCTTCCTGGCCGGCCAACCATTCGATCTTCCGTATGCAATCGGAGAGAGCAGGTGTTGATAAAAGTCTGCAACAGGCTGTTCGAAAAGCTTTTCTTGATGCGTAGTGCAAGTTACTGATCCATATGGAACAACTGAAAGACTTAACATTGGTGTTAAAAAACCGAATCTTGCTGTTTTTGCTGCGCTGAAGTTCAGGAGATTTTCGAACTGATTTCATAATCATGAAAGTCTGCCTTGCCTTTCTCATCCAAGTCATGACGTCCTCACTCGTCTATCTGCCTGTGATTGAAACCATGCCTTCTAGATAAATGAAAGAAGTGACCTGCTTCGGATTTCTTTTGTTTTCAGTGATTAGTTATTACCATTACTTTAATGTTCTATGTGTTCACTTGAAGTTCTGTCTCCTCTGTCTGCCTCATCTGCCAGTTTGTTGGTTTTCGCCTGTAAGTCTTCAAGTTTGTATGACACTGGACATAAGTCATCTGCAAAATCCAGATCTTCTAGACTTGGATTTGTCTTTTTTAGTCAGTTTCACTTTTAGCCAGTACCACTGTCTGCATGGACAGCTTTCACTAACCTCTTTTTCCTTCTCCCTAATGTTCTCTTCACTACTACAAACAAATAAATGCATATTCATCCAGAAGTTTACACTGAGTATTTTAGTTTTGTGAACTAACTATTTTTTATTTATCTGATTATTATTTGAAAACAGAATTTCTAACTCAAAGTTTTTAAAACTTTCGCTGAAAATTTCCTTCTCATTTCGTAATTTCTACCACTTAAATGTTTGTGAACTGTTTAACACAAAGTGCGATATATTGTTATTTTAAACTAAACTTATCCAGCACAACTGTGCTGAATAATAAAATTAATTTAATTTCATGCTAAGGTCAAATGATTTGACGAAGTTCGTAACCATTTCGAGTCCCATTCAAGTTCTTATCAATATTTCATTCCGGTAATAAGAAACAGGGTATGTACAACTTTTATTGATGTTTATTTTAAACGCATCATTTCATATCTCCTTAATTCCCTTCATGGCATGGAGTTGTTCTGCACGAGAGTGAAGGGGCGAATGCTAATTTCAAGCGATTAAAACCGAACTGATGGATTTACCAATCTGTCTAGAGAAGCTGGAGAATCTTGATTCCATACCTACGGTGTATGCAGGCTCGAGAATCACAAGGGATCGAACAGCGTATGAACCTCTTTTGGCCACTAGTAGCCAAAGAAATGAAGCTTCTGACCCTGCTGTACAGACTTATTGATCAGAATTCAAGTCAAAGACTCGAGGGAGTGGCTAATTGAGACAACCACCTCTTTCGGTTTGGTCGTCCGAGTAGTATCCTAGCCCTCACAAAAACTATGGAATGGTGTCGAACATCTCTTGGTGCTCATAATGTACTGAGTTAGTATACTGATAATAATAATATCATATTTCTTATTCCAGTTCCTTTGTCGCCTTTGGAAGAGAAGATCTGACAAAAGAATTTTCAGTTACCGCAAACTCATGTTCAAAGATAGGAAAATTAAGTCTGTTAACTGTTTTTATCTATTTCAAGAGTACGCTTTTTACGCATTAATTTAATGGTTAAAATAATTTGACAAATTTAGTGTCAACGTTTTTCAAATTACTTTATCTGTAACCAGTCAATTAATGATTGATGGTTGCCTAAATCAAATCACAGCGAATTAGATAACTAAACACAAATCTCATTTAACTGCTTAAAGCGCGAAAAAAATAATCTAAAAACATTTTGCCTTCTTCAGATAAGTAGACTTAACCCTTTTCCACTGTCTGGCTGAATGGTTTACGAACTTGCTTTGGTCCCAGGTTCAAACCCTGGCGGGTACATAGTGATAAAGGGTCCCAAAATAGAACGAAACAGTTGTACAGTACTCCCAGATAAAAGGGAAGTTGCTGGTTCACCGGTAGAACGCTCACCAACCACACACACATTATCTGGGCATTCGATCCTCGGCCGACGTACACCTAAACCCTACTTAGCCGGTAGTAAGACCGGTAAAGAGAGAAGGTTAGGCGTGAGTCTAGCAACCGCAGCCAGCAAAAATAAAACTACTGCTACGGAAAATTCAAAGCCTCAGCTTGAAGCTCTATGTTCCACTCGGAAAGCAAGTGATTAAAATTTAAAAAATAAGTTGACTTAACCTTTTGCACCTTCTGAAATTGATGATTCGTCTGACCCTCTTCTTAATTCACAACTCGATGGTGTACATCTCCCTAAGGAACACTGTACTCCCAAATATTCCTGTGTAAATGATTTTCCTGAGTTAGACTGACATTCACAAAAATTTGACCTACAATGTTGAAGAATACCAAATTATTACTACACGTGTCTTTTCATCTTTAAACAACAGGGCAAAACTACTAGCGTAATATCCACTTTTAACAGCTGAACCATACGCAAAAGTAATATTAAGATTTTTGATCAAAATGAATTAGTTATTGTGAAAAGCTGAATATTTTAAGCTAAAAGTATGGTGAGAAAACTGTAAGATAAATTCACAGTCGATGCACCGTACTAGTTAGTTAAAAATTTGTGTCAAAAGTCTTATTTTAAAGTGTATGGCAAAATGGAGTGAAACTCCTTGCTGTCCAATCTAAGCAGAATTTTGTTAATTCTAGGAAGCGTTTTATCTCAATAAAATCCAATAATACAGTTTTGATTTGTGTTGTATCTTTTCGTCAAGTATTTCTTTCTATTTTTGATTAAATTACTTTCTGTAGGATTCAAGCTGTCATTAAGTGGAGTAGCATGATTTATAAGAATCCGTATCACGTGTCTTTTCAGTATTCACAAACGAACTGCTGTGTGTTACAAGAAAAACAAAACGGAAGGAGAATATGAATGCTACTCTTGACAGCATCATTATCAGCATCAGTGAACGAACAAATTGCTTATATCTTCTAAAAAAATTGGATTTAATTACAGTGATATTTCATTCAGGAATTATTATCCAGTGTTTGCATTCATTGAACTTTTATTTTCTCAGAAGTTAATGATAAAAATGTATGTATGTAAACTTTTATTACAATCAAAATCCAAAAAGAAAAGGGATTAGATCTCGTAAAATCAAACTGTTTACTGCATAATAATGATTACATGTAGAGCGCCCAAACTGTCCTAGATTCATTGATGTAATAATAAGATGTTGGCGCTACTGTGGAGTAAAATAAAAAAAAATAGAAACTGCATGCAACTCAACAGGACTACTTAATTCACTGTTGTCCAGAACAAAAGGCACAAGTTTGAAAAAAAGATGAAATCAAATCTACCACTTGTGAAAAGCAGTGCATTTACTGACCTTGAAAAGGTAATGACGTGTAATCCTTCATATCAGTGCAGGCGGACATCATTTGGACACAAAATGACCAATTAAAATGTAGAAATCCAAACAGCTTACCTACTACATTTGCCGGAGAATGTCTAAAAGCCTGTCATTGAGGTCCATCTTCAGTCAATAGGACTGCAGATACACGTCAAATTCATTATGTAACCAGTCCATAACAAGTCACATGGAGGAAAAGTTAAACTTTAGTTGAGGAAGACGGTTAACACCAACACAAATTAACACAAGGATAAGAACATTTTCGGAGGTAAAAAGTCACACTCAAAACCACCAAAAAGGGCATTGATGCCATTCATGCAGAATTCCATGAATGATATATCTTCCGGTGGCGCAGATGTATTCATCCCATTAATCTTCATTAGCCTGTATGACGCTATTCTGTAACCCTAACCCCCCCAAAAAAAAAACATCTGAATCTTATGGCTCCGTTTACATTTCCTTTTTCCTCCACAATGATGTATGCCTTACGAGCTATGACAGTTATGGCTGCTTCACTTTTGTGCAGAATTCAACATTAAAAATTCAGTTCAGTTAGATAGGATGTCAAAACACCCATCTTGCAATGTAGTGAGCGCTGAAGATCTTGCATGAAAGGATAAAGAAGCCTTCACAATTAAACCACTTAGTTCAGGGATTATAGTCACACGTTGACCTACATATCTCTTCCACTATCTCAGAGTTCAAATTCATAATAAATTAATTTTGTCTGACGTAACACAAGTTGGGGTAGTATTGTGTTGGTGTGACACAGACAATGTCTGCCAACGGAATATTGTACTCACACTGCTTGGCTTTTGGTGGCTCTATCTCAGCAAACGTCTTGCTTAATAGTTGCCTGGTCACCTTTGCAAGCTCCCCGATGTCCAGCAGCTGCACGGCGTGAATCAGATGTAGCTGTTGAGATATGTGTGCTGAAACACTCTCCACAAACTGAGACGCCAACATTTGTGCCTCAAAACCTTCGTCCAGTGTTGGCAGAGCGCTACGCAGTAGGTTTGTCAGGCTCAGCGCCAATACACGAAGATCACCGTCATCCCCCAGCTTCATGGTACGAAACTGCTGCATAGCTGGCTTTCTGTCCATCGGGCTGTCAAACTCCTCCTTCAAGCGTTCACCTGCTGACTTCCAAGTTGTTTGTCCTTCTATTTGCCTCACACTGTCATATGCTGCCTTTATCCGACCTCTCAGAAGCTTTCTTAGTAAAAGCGTCTTCGCTGACGGCTCTTAAACTCCATTCAACCCCACAACAGCCTCAAAGTGCTTCAAGAAGATCCATATGTCTCCTCCATGAGACTTTCATTTCTCGACAAGCAGTGACACCAAATGTAACAAGAGAAGGCAATACACGGGAGCCAAGTTATATTTTTCATCAATCAAACCACTGTCTATATATCTACAGTTTATATTGGTTAACCAATCATTGAGGGTATGATTTCGGTTTACATCAAACAACATGAAGTAGAATGTTCAAATATACATAGTACTCTTTTGTTAATGCAGTATATAACCGTGGGAATTACATTCTCTGTCTAACACCAAATAGAATGTTCAAATAGATATATTGTATTCTGTTGCCAATGCAGTATTGAATTGTTGGAATATATGAGCGTAATATTCTGTTAGTAGACATTATCTGTATTACACCACCACAGTATTACTTATTTTCTGATGATTTTTATATGATATAATCAGCACTAAATTGTGCTTGAAATGATATCAGTAAATAAATAACGTTAAATCACTGTATGTCAGTTATGTCGAATAAAATTATCTTATTACTGTGCTAGACTCAATCTAGAACAACATATTTCAGCGAACAATATTGTTTTCAATAAGATATCATCAGGCTTAACTCTAATATACACAAGTTTATAAATAAAAATTCAAATATAAACCAATTATGGTGTTTCTTCTATAGGATAATAAGATGGTGAATATAAATGGTGCAACTAATCATGATAGTAGTAATGATAATAATAATGGTAATATCAATAATAAGGATGAAAAAGTGAGGCAATCTGTGAGAACACGAATAATGAAAAAACAGCATGATTAAACAAACAATTGTTCAGGTGGAAGTAGTCGATAAAGGCTGGTAAAAACAAATGAACCGATTAAGTAATGTTAGATTGTAAGGGAAGTAAATGTGACACGTTTATAATGATGTGATAAGATTAATGGATGATAAGAAAGGGGTTGAAAATATAAACAAGAGGTGGTGTAGGAGTCATTAGTTGATTATGTCTTAATAGGCTAAGAGAGGGATGATGGCTGTACGAACTTCTTTTGAATGCATAGTTTAGGTTTAATAGTTCGAATGCCTATCGCCTCAATTGTGTGTGTGTGTGTGCAGTAGACGAATACGAAGTCTATTAGAAAGATTCGGTGGGATACGATGAATTACTTTGACTCAATCTAGTGTGATTCCTATCACCAGATTACTATACCACAAACCTATTGTGAAACCATGCGTTCTAAAAGTCTTTGTTGCTTTTGTTATTTTAAGAGTTTTCATTTACGTAGTAAATAACAGCTTACCGTACTCTACACTATTAAACATTATATTTTCGTATGGTATGTTGCTCGCATATAGAAACCTAGATTGCATGATACATGGTTACTCAGCAGTTTTTTTCGAAATTCTTTAGATAATTAGTTATTATGTGAAATATGGTAATGTAATGTTATGATTTTGAACATTTTATTATAATGAATTATTTATTATTATTATTGTATCCTTTAGTTCCTAGAGGAACATAGGGCTTCAGCTGAGCACCTCCATTGACTTCGGTTTTCTGACAACTTTTTCAACCTGCTCCAGGTCTGTCCACATGCTTTCATCTCTTCCTCGCATGACCTCCTCCAAGTCACCCTTGGACGACCAACTCGCCGCCTCCCTTCCGGGTTCCACTCGAGGGCTTGTCTAGTGATGTCACTTGATGGTTTCCTCAGCGTATGGCCAATCCATCTCCATTTCTTTCTGCCTATTTGTTTCACAATCGGTTCCTGATTGGTTCGCTCCCAGAGATCCCTGTTGCTGATCTTTTCTGGCCATCTGATCTTGAGTATTGAGAGAAGACAGCTGTTAATGAAGGTTTGAAGTTTGTTTGAGATGCTCTTTATGACTCGCCAAGTCTCTGATCCGTATAGTAGCACTGACTTTACATTGGAGTTGAAAATCTGGATCTTATTTTTGATTCTGAGTGCTGTTGACCTCCACACAGATTTGAGAGTAATGAAAGCTTGTCTTGCTTTTCCGATTCTGGCTTTGATATCCTCGTCAGTTCCGCCTGTAGTTGAGACGATGCTTCCCAGGTAGGTGAAGGAGGTTGTTTCTTTCAGGTTCTTCCCACTTATGCTGATTGTTGTCTGTTGTTGTTGTTGTTGATGTTGGCTAGGAATCTTCATCACCTCTGTTTTATCTATGTTCACGTGAAGTCCTATCTTTGATGCTTCTTCTGCCAACTTGTTACTTTTCACTTGCATATCTTCCAGTTTATTATAATGAATGGCCACTACTAATTGAGCATGCTGCCTTGAAATCAAATGTGCATCATACTCCTTCGTGAAATGAAGTCAGCAGTTCAGAAACCCTTAATTAGTACACTGATAAAAATATATCCAGTGACACATATTTTAGGTCCCACCAAGCTTATAATATCAATTATATCAAGTTGAAATATAATCATGACAAGTTAGCATCCCACAAAAACCTTACGTTCCACAATCAGAAATTCAAATAATAGTACTAAAAACCCCAGTATGCTCTAGCATATGTATTAGTTCTAAGGGACATAGTGGTAGCTTTCTTCTAAGTCCTTTTGTAATCTGTGTAACTGTCACGTGTTGATAAACTTCAGAAGGAAACATTTCACAAAATTTTACCTATTTTGTCCAGTTAGATCAAGAACATTTCTCCTTGTTAAAACTGAGCCTGAATAACGATGGTGTAACAGTTTCTTCTGTTTTGTAAATAGATTTTCCCTATTCAGTGATTTTTGATGATTGTGGAACTGCTTTATGAGTAGATTTGTATCCAATAAATGATTATGCGTTGCAGAGTTACATCTTTCAGTTCTTACTGAGGTGACTTCATGTAATCCGCTTTTGCCACAGTTTCTTAATAATCCTTTATGACGATGTGGATATGAACTTGCGCGATTTTTTTGTTTATTATAGTGATTTTGCTCAATACGTGATAAGCGTTTGTCAAGAACAGCTTCGTTCGCCTCCAAAATTCTAATTTGTTTTTGTAATGAACGAAATTGATACTGGTTTCGCGAAATAAAAGAACAGAAATGATATAATGATAAATTCAGCTTATAGTAAAAAAAAAACTATGATTTGTATGAATCAAGTTAATAACTACTCTTCAGCAATGTTTATTCAAAATACTGTTTCTTTAATATGTAAAAAATAGATAGCTGCTAGAATTCTGCTCAGAATGTTTATTCAAAGCGAAAACCTTCCTGGAATACGTCTATTTTTCAATTTGTAACTAATTTTTTTCAAATTAACACAGGTGTTAATCGAAAGTAAGCTGACTGTATGCTTGTCAATCAAATTACAGGATTTTTCACTTCTTCTGCAGTCACTTGTCCACTAGATCCACACATTGGTGCATACTAAATCAATAACTGCTCCTTGAGATACAGAACAAGAGTTTTAAAAACTTCATTTTCAAAACTGCCCAATCCTATTTATGTATTCTTCCGGATAAATGATAGTAGATTTTACTAATGTTAGTCATACGGAACTTTCTAAAATAGGGAGAAATGTCACGCTCAAAAATAAGTGATCAGAACACCAGACAAAACACAGGGTGAATAAATGAAATAATATAAATAAGAAATGGACAAAACAAGAGAAAATAGGGGCGTTAGTAAGCAAATGAGTAGAATGTCGTCTGTAAACTGGAAATCACAATCCATCCTAATTGAGATAAAAACCGAACAGAAGTTGAGAATAATAAAGCATGCTCATGTTAAAATGTAACAGGATAAAAGTCAATAATATCGAATATGGAAGAGGCAAAGTTTTCGGAAACATGTTTTTTAAGATAAGTAACGCCAGATGTTAGAAAATCGGTTATGCATACCGCTCCTGTTCATAAGGTTCTGCTAGTGAAGCTTCTGTGGAGAAACCTCTGCGTTAGAGAGGCATTCTAGAAGCCTAAAATGTCCAAGTGCATGAATTTCTCACCATTTTTTAACACACATGAAGTCTAATTAAAAAATTGTTTTACTGTCATAAACTTCACACATCACATGAAGGCGTCTAGCCAAATGGTCTGGCAATCAAATTGCAATTCTATTGCAGTTTTCTGATTAAGAAAAAAACGAAAGGCAAAAACATCTCCAATCTACCTAGTTAATCTTTTAAAAAAGTTACTCGCATGTAACCAAGTTGGTTCCCATTTATCGAACAACAAACTCTTTATTCCAGTCGAATGTTAATAGACACACTCCCCATGTTAACCCTAATTGTGTATACAAATTCACGTGTATCTGTAGGAGGGATTATTTTGGGAGAACAGAAAAAAGCATAACCCAGACTCTCCGAACATGTACAAAAATGTTCACGTCTCAAGGAAAAAAATACTTTGAATAGTATCTAAAGTCCTAGGCTCGCTAATCATGCGTAGAGTGAGTAGTGCTCGGGAGGCACAAACACGAGAGAGCCCGGCAGGCTTTAGACCAGGAAGAGGGTGTATTCATCATATCTTCACGCTCCAACAGATTCTAGAACATAGTCATTCTTACCGGCGTCCAACAGTCATTATATTTCTTGACCTAAAGGCGGGATTCGATTCCGTTGACCAGGAGGTTCTCTGGAGATGCTTAGCTGTTAAGGGAATTCCGAGAAAATATATTGCACTGATTAAGGCACTCTACTTGTACTCATTCAGCCAGTTAAGAGCTTACGGCGAGTTGTCATCTGAAATGGTAACGACAAGTGGTGTCCGTCAAGGATGCCCATTATCCCTCTTTCTATTCAACTTCATCATAGATGTACTAATGGACTTAACCCTAAGTCTCGGGGATTGACTTGCTACCAGGGAATAATCTCGTTGACTTAGAATATGCTGACGATATAGTCCTTCTAGGCGAGGACGCTGACAGAATGCAGAGTTTTCTAAACACCTTGAGCTGCAATCTACGAATGTTTGGCATGCGATTCGCTCCCGCCAAATGCAAGATGATGTTACAGGACTGGACTACACTGACTCCTAGATTAGAAATAGGGAGTGAAGTGGTAGAGCACGTTGACCACTTCACTTACTTGGGAAGTACCATCAGCCAACGCCAACGGGTTGATCTCTGACAAAATCTCAGCACGGATACGGGGGGCTCGTTTCGCATATTCCAGTTTATGCCGTCTCTGGCGTAGATGAGATATTCGACTGTCGATCAAAGGGCGGGTGTACTGCTCATCAGTCCACTCCGTCCTCCTTTATGGCTGTGAGGCCTGGCCACCGAGAGTGGAAGAAAGACTAGCTGTCTTCGATCATAGGTGCCTGGGTTCTGTTTCCCGTGTGAAGTGGTATAATAAGATGAGCAATATTGAGGTTAGACGTCGAGTTCTAGGTAAGGAAGGGAAATAAATCGACGGGGTTGTGAAGTTACATAGACTGAGATGGTTAGGACATGTGTTACGTATTCCTAGTCATCACCTTCCTCGACAAGCAATGTTAGCGGATATAGGGTCAGGCTGGAAAAAAGCTGGCGGAGGTCAAACCAAAACATGGAAACAGTCAATGAAATCTACAACAGTTAGTCTAAGCCACGTATGAAGGTGTCGACTTCCTGACCGGTTGGGGTCCTCGGGATGGTAAAAACAAATGGTTGGAAACAATTAGTGATATAGCCCAAATGGTTCTCAATGGCTGGCGCAGATGCACTCACTCCTTGTGACTTATGATTTCCAATGAAACTGTTTTGTGCTTCGTTATTACTCTTCCTTTGTTTCACACCTCTGTTTACTGTCTCTATTATGCATGTCTTCTACTATCTTCTCTTGCTTTGTGTGCTACATGGAGTTTGGTGACTTGAACTGTCGCACACTGGTGCAAAGTTCTATGTCGAAAACAGACAGACAGACTACTGCCTGACGTCTTGCTGTTATGGTTTATGATGTGGACAGCATCAAATCCTTCCATATTATTACTAGACAGTATCGCTCATTTCTCCTCGAATTTACCAAAGCAGTCTTATCAAACATTTAAAACGGGACTTAAGTGCTCAGAAAGATTCAATTTTTAATCTTTTTTTGTACTGGCCACCCAGCATCTAATTTCCTCTTCTAAACTGATCACATAATCTTTTGCTTTCACCCCACCCCCATTTTTACTCTGTTGGGATTCAGTTCTATTTTGTTCCGATGACTTGAGTTAAACATTATTTTACTCATCACTAGCTTCTCCGCTCTTGTCTTGACTGTTAAGGTTAATTTTTAATGTATCCGACCAATAGTTTTGCATGTCTATATTTTGTTTGAACTATGATCTCCATCATAATTTTTATAAGTGGAACTTCTGAACAGTGTTTATTGACATGCGTCTCTGTTAACGAAAATCATTTCGAACCTCGCAAGTATGATAAAGTTCTATGTGCATTTACACAATCAAATTATCGGCTTCTAACAGCCAAAGAGAATCCGACAGAATAAATGATAGCCTAATATCATTTTTCACAAAAGTTTGTTTCTGTTTTGTTTAAACTAACATTAGATTACTGAAACTATTAAAAGTTTTACCTTATGCAAGAGAAAATATAAAGTAATATCGCTTGTGAGTAGAGCATTTATGAGCTTTAAAAGGCCTTAAGAGGATGTGCAGTACTCATTAATATAGCTGTGATATGATACATTCTGTCCAAATATCTCAGTCTCTTTTCAATCCTGTATAGGGTTTCATGTCATAACATCTATTTGATAGCTGAAGAAATCAAACTTACTCGGAACTCAGTAGGCGTCCTCTGTAAGTGATATACGTTTTCTCTTCTGTGTGAATGCGAAGTTTGACGATATTCTGAATGAATGGTGCTGCAGTCGGCAATGGGCAGTTGGGTGTACATAGTGACTAACTAAGAAATAATTTAAAGCCAGAATAAATTTTTCGACAGAACCCTCTGAAATAACGGTGTGAATTCCATCAAAAGCATTCTGCTTTAGTGGATGGCCTAAAATAAAAAACAGTAAATTTTTTATTCAGCACAGCAGTCACAATTTACGAAATCATAAATAAAATTCACATTCAAAATCATAGTTGCGACTGGATAGTAAATCGCTACTTGACACTATCAGACATTTTTTGGCTCAGAATTTAGTGAGATTTGAATGACAAGACATTTTTGAGGAAGGGTGAGTTACTCAACTTGAATGCAATTATTCTAGATAAAAGATTTCCGAGAAACGAGGATAGATGATACTGACAGGTGCAAATCTGGAAATGAAACAATGCTTTCAAATTTAGGCAGAGGTCCAGTTTCGAATAAAAAAGTGTTTTTAACCAAAAATTTAAGTGTTCATACATATTTATGACGCCTCAACCTAAATCACAAGACTTTACAATAGAATGTGGCTATAACTGGTTAAGGCTTACGAAGAATCTGACAAAACATGATTATGTTTGTGGTTGTCACACTATCAGTTGCCATAATACAAATAATAGATATAATATTAGCGACTCAAAAGAATCACCCTGGTGCTTATTCTTAGACAATCACTTGTCTTTATTTGCTGGGCGAGATACAAAATAACGAGTGTTTAATTGTTTTGTGATCATTTGATTAATTAAAGCTATTGAAACATGCACATTCTGAGAAAGATTGTTAATACAACAAGTTTTTCAAGAGGATTTTGATTTTGTGATAGGCTAAAGAACAGAATCGGGAGCATAAAACTATCTCAGAACCCAATGATCTGTAGACTACTGTTATAAATTCATCTTTCTAACTGATTTTCAAATTTTATTACCCTGAATTCTGAGTAAAGTGTGAAGATAATTCAGTATATCTGATACAATTTAAATTGTCCCTAAAGATTCCATATTATCTCATATTGCATAGCATCATGATCATACTTCTACGACAACATATGACCTTGTTTCAATTTGTTGGGTTTCAGTTTCAATATCCAATATCATTTTTATGACCTCCAATGTATCCAATGTCGTTTTGACGAGCTACTACTAATTAATTAGATTTCTTTGTTTTCGCTTCTTGATTGTGAGTTGAAGGTTCCTGGTCTTCGGTAAACTTCTGCATAGTTCGCCCCACCACCCGACTGTCGTAATTCTGGTTGACTCCAAAATAAGTGGTGGTTGGATTAATTATACGTTGTTTGTAGTGCGCGATGCGTTAAGACTTTGCTACTACTGTGAATAAAGTTCATCCCCTCACCATTTAGTTCTCTGGTGTTGTCGTCAGAATCAAGGAGATAATAATAATGATAAAATATACAAATATATATACATGTGTACCATATCAATAAAAATAATTATTATAATAAAGGTAGCCAGGAGAGTACAGAAGTGAAACGACGAATTTAGATGTCTACCCATAAATGGTGTGTGGGATTTCAAGAGGATGGGCCGTTGGGACTAAGTCCTTGTGTCACTGCGTGGTTGTCCAGCCTTCGCCTAAAGGTGTCTACAAACGGTGTGGTAGCTACATTTGCCAGTAAGGAGTTTTAGGGATGGTGAACTCTGGTGAAAATAATTAGGAGCACACTCGAGTCTTCGCCCTGTGGTGAGCAATGCTTCTGGTATTTCCACGAGTAAGCCCATACCATCTCAATGGTAGAACACCTTTGTTTGGGTGATTCTTGTCATTTGTTATATTGTAGGCAGTAATCATATCTCCCCTAAACTGATGGTAGCTAAGTGTGAATAAATCTAATTTTTTTTAGCCTTCCATCATACGGTTTACTTCGAAGACCAGCCACTCTTTTTTCCCCCGTCTTTGGACTCTTTCCAGGAGGTTTGCGTCTCTTGTAGACTGTGGGGTGCAGTGATATTATGCACTTCAAGGTGTAGTCTGACGTATGTTTTTTACGACCACATAAAGCGCTCAACAATGAGTGCACCTTACCGTTTATGTGCAAAGTGTGTCATCATGTATGTCCTCGCTACATCCACCGTGAAATTTAGGCTTGTGTTCATTTCGTTCATTAGAACTAAACCTAAGTTGCGCCCTGATGTTGTGCAGGACAAACTTTCGTTGGACAGGGTGTAACCTGCACCGTGAGGAACTCACCAGTCAATCACAACAGACCTAACGTGTGCAAACAGGGGTCGCAGATATGTAGATTAACTTTCTGAGAAACAGTCGCAAGTAGTACATAATAAGCTTCAACAATAAAGCAACCAGTCAGAAGACGTTGCTTCTCCACTGACAATAACGTACGTAAAAATCTATAAATATCTCTTGATTTTCTCAACAAACTATCTGTTGCTTGGCTCTTATCTTCTGTGGTTACGGTAAAGCAGCCATTTCGATCCATACCGATTATACTTGAATTGCTGTCCAACTTTTCGGTGTAAGTTAAACTGAATGTTTCAGCCATCTACAGACTTGTGAGTTATTGGTCGCTTTGTCCTACAAAGTCGCATGCCCTCTAGTTGATTGGTTTTCTCTCCGGCATGAATCGGTACAGGCTTTCAGGGTTCTCCAGGAGTGTTTTTGGCAAGTTAAGCCTGAGATGACCTTCTGTCACTCCTGACTTTCACGTTGCGCCGGTCCCTGAGTTTCGGGTATGCATCGTAGCCGGTCTGACTCTTGGATACCCGCCAAGTAGACCAAGTCGTGGACCACGCTTGCGGAATACGCCGAGTACCCATCCTCAGCCATCAGGATATTTGTTCGGCTGTGCTATGACTAAAAAAACCGTATCCGAAAATGCTGTGTGATTAATGTCTTCTAACACTTTCCAGTGTTCTTCCACAGATAACTCAGCCTATTCCAAGGATCATTTACCGTTTGGCAAAAGCCTCCACATTTCAGCATAGTCCGCCTTGTTATAGCACAGACACGGTCTTGTAGCATTCCACCGTAGGTGCACACGGAGAGTAAAATTGAATCCTATGACTTCATAGCCACTAATTTCCAGTGGAGTTATGATCTTTTCGATTCACTCCTGATTCAAATTTATTGGTTGAGGATAGAAGGTTTGGATCCCATGTTAATCCTTTTGTAGCAAATTTCTGTGCTTGTCTGGACCCTTGTTGAATGAATCATACCATGTTGCAGACACCACTTCTTTTGAGGGTCGTTTCCAAGAGTTTATTACTCAGTGTGAGAACCAGTACTCAACAGCAATATATCTTCCTGGCATTTGAACTCTCCTGTTATATCCTCTAAGGAGTTCCGACCTGGCGGGAAGGAAAAAAGAGAATAGGTCAGGTCATTATTTAAAATTCGAAACATTGTAATTAAATCTCCACTCTACCTACGTTATGACAAGGGGGAGATTTAAACTGTTTAGTCTTTCCTCGTATGATAAATTAGTCGCGCCGAAAATAATACGTGATACCTTCCTTTGGACCCTTTCTAGGATATGTGAGTCCCTTTTAAGACAAAGACTGGCTGCCTGGATACAGTTTTAAAGTCTTGACCTCACCAGAGATGTATATAGAGAGGTGAACATATCTCTGGTGATTCTAGTAAAGGCTCTGAGAATTGCCCATAAGGATCTGAAACTACCTGCAGCCACCGTGATACAGTGTGCTGTAGTTTTTAAATTGTGACTTACTATGACACCCAAATTTAAATGCGACTGAGCCGATGGCAGTATCATTCCCTCTAGTTCGTAGGAGCTGATGCTTGCTTGTCGGATGGGCATAGTTGAACATTTCGCTACGTTTATTAGCAGCATACATTCTCTGGACCATTCTGACAATTTGCTGAAGTCCTATAGCGACGTCAGCGTATCACTGTCATCCTACAGCTCTCTAGAAATACTTAAGTCATCTGAGTATAGGACCATAGGGAAATCAGTGGGCAGAATTAACTCATTGATATACAAAATAAATAGGAGTGGTCCGAGTACCTTTCCTCGTGGCACCCCACCACGCACTGCCGTCTAGGAGAGGAGTTTCGAATTGATCCTAGGCCTCTGAATCCTATCCACGAGGTATTCCATGGTCCAGTTTAGTGAGCTGCCCTTGATAATTCGTGAGTAGTCTTTTGTGAGGAACATTATCGAAGGCTTTGCTGAAGTCCATTAAGACAACATCAAGACAAAATTGATATGATCATGAACAGTAAATTTCTTTCGAAACGTCACCCAGTAAATAATGCTGTTTCTCTGTGATACGTCTGACAAACAAACTAATATGGAAACATCAACAGGTCTTCTGTTGTCCCTTGATTTGACTGTTTTCTCTCGCAGTAAGGAGATTCGGCAGGCATGAGAGGTTTTCTCGGAAACCATGCAGTGCTCTGGATAACATTTCGTTGTTTTTCAGGTATAAAATGGTACTTTTCTTGATGATTCCTTCCAGTGTCTTGATTAGAGTGCTGATGAGTCTAATAGGCCTGTAATTTAGGCGTCTTTGTTTTGATGCCCCGTTATGGATGGAGGTTACTATGGATTCATTCCAGTCACGCGGTAACACTACATTTAGGAGAGACAGCTTGAAGATTGTGTTCAATAGGCCGACTATGTGAGCTGATAGCCCCTTGAGAAGCCTTGAATTAAGACTATCAGGACGCAGTGTAGCACAGTGGTTAGGATTCTTGCCGACCATGCACATGGTCCAGGGTTCGAGCCCACGCCGAAGCACACCTTGATATCTATGGTCGGCCTGCAAAATTTGGGCTACCGACATCCATGCTGAAAATTCCATACTTGTACTAAAAATACGGTGTGGAATCAGCCTGTAATCAAAAATAAAATAAATCAAAGATTGAACGATCAATTCATGGTTGTTTGCTCAAAATCAACTCCTCCATATTTTTCGCGGAGTCATCAAACCGGCAGTCATCGTCTCATCGTTCGCTGTTCAGAATAATATTAAAAGCTATCAGAAGTATAATCGTGATTTATTGTTATAACATTTATTCTTAGACCTTGTGTAATAACCTCATTGTTGGTTATATGTTGGCATAAGAATAAAGGATTCTCGAGTCGCCAATCTGTGTTCTGGTTTTCGCGTTGGTTAATACAAAGTGTTTCTGAAAGTCTTCGAGAGACAGCGTGAGGTCCAGCGTAGTAGGAGCTGGACATCGACAGTTAATGAGAGTTGGCTGACAGTTTCTGATAGGTTTCCGGTGGTTTCCGTTCGTCTACCCTAGTCCCTGCCCGTCTCCTTTGGACAAGTATTACCTGGAAATTTTCTGGAATTTTGGTCAAGTTCAATGATGCATGGGTCAAAGAAGGGACAGGGTGTCTTGGAAGCAAGCAGGAAAGTAAGTAATGTTGACTTGTCTGTTACATGTAACGATGTGTTTGATGTTAAGCATGATAAGATTGATATTAATGTTTCGCCGTCTAGGGATAATAGGAATATTAGGCTTCCTAAATGCGAGCCTCAGTGTTCTGACGGAAACCCAGCTGGCTATCCACAGTTTGCAAAAAAGTCTGAAGTCATGTTGGGTGGGCTTGCTTTAAATGATGAAATGACGCTGAAGTATTATCCATGCCTGTACAACTGCTGTCAGCCACGCCTCGTAAACCGTTAATGCTCAGCTCTTGCTACGCTCGGGCCCACGCTGTTCCTGCCAGGTTTTCAGAAACGCTTAGTAATAACGGACGAAAACACCAAAAGACCGATTCGCCACTCGAGAATTCTTTATTGTTACACCAACATATAAAAATAATGTTTTTACTAGGGTCTGTGAACAAATATTACAATAATAAATCACAAGATTACTTCTGATGGTTGTCTCCTGACTTCTTTCTGAACAGCGACCGATGAGACGATGACTGTCGTATTGATGCCTCCGCGAAAATTGGGGAAGTTGATTTTGAGCAAACAACCAAGAATTGATCGTTCAATCTTCAACTCCATTGACACTCCCCGGCAAAATACGGATCCAACCCTTTTTTCCTTCACGACCAATACACGTTAACTTGGATGTCATTGGAGAACCTGGGTCAC